CCCTTACTCTAGCCAAAATAATAATTCAAAAAACCTTGGCTTTAGTTCCGCTTTCCCCCGCCCCCTGTACGGGTGCCGCCATCGTTCTAATGGAGGCACCTGTGCGTGCTCGTGCCCACAGTGGCTGTGTGCGTCCATAGACCCACACATCCCTGTGGCAGGCCACGCCCCTTCTCTCTTTGATTGATGGCAGAAGGAGCCTACGGCTCCTCTGCCATCAGTATCCTCCCCCCGCAACCTGGAAGTTCGGGGAACGAAGGATCGCTTCGGGACCGGCGGTGGGGACGAGCGTAGCTGACAGGTAAGTGTGGGTGGGACTGGGGGAGAAAAAAGGTGCTGGGCCATTTCGACCCTAAGGCAGAGAATGCATTAAGGTTAAAAAACGCCCAGATCTTAAAGGAGAACTATGGGGTCAGGGCTTTTCCCCATAGTTCTCCTTAGGGTAACGGGAGGACACAAACTAGCGTCCTCCCGTCACCCTAGGCTGTAGCTTGCGGTATACTGAGACGCCACAGCTGAATCTGATCCCGACAATTATGTCTGGATCCGCCCAGCTGCGTGACTGACAGCTGGCTCTGCCTATCTAGAGGCAGAGCCAGCTGTACCCTCCCAGTCTGTTCCGCCAGTCAGCGCTGTGAAGTGATTGAGAAGTGAGCGAACGCCGGTATGTGTTTGCTCACCTCCCGATCTACTGAGCCGACCTGTGACAGTCTCATTGTCACAGGTCGGCTAGAACTATGAGGTGAGTGAAAAGCACTCACCTCATAGTTCTCCTTTAATACTACTTTAAGTCACCCAAGAAGCTTTTACTTCATTAGTCAGTTCCTGATGACAGATCATTTACTCCTAAAGATTTTGCGTTGCCAGGAGAGCGGTGAACTACACACAGTAGCAGCATTCCTGTTGTGGCCTCATTTATTGGAGTATTTTCTGTCGTTGTCAGCGGGAGAAGATTTTTCTTCCTCTACCTCTTAGCTTCTATAGTGCACTCAGCAATTCCTCTGAGCCAGTTTCATCAAATAATTCTTTCCACTGCTTTACTTATTCATAGTCCAGTTAGCTAAGGTCAGGGAGGTGACTCCGAATGCGGCCCAGCTGCAGGCTTTTATTATACAGGTATAAAACAGCTTACATACTGGATATGTTATTCAGTTCTACAATTGGCTGTGTGACTAGAGCTCTGCTTTAAATTATGACAGGTTAAAGAGCAACTCCAGGAATTTTTTTTTATTAACCCCTGCAGTAAGGCTACCCCCCACACTGCATGGGTTAACTGCTCATTTATTTCTAGGTTAAAATAAACAAAGATATACTCACCCAAAGCACCGAGTCGGCTCCTTCTTAGACTGGTCACCGGGATGTCTCTCCCCCTCCTCTGCAGCGGTCTAAGGTCCAGTAAATCATGAATGTCTCTACACTGTACATAGACAGGAGGACGCTGAGGAAGATTCCAATATGCTGCAGAGGGGGAAGACAGGCTGGGGGGATCGCTGTGACAGCTGGCCAGCTTGGAGCTTCAGGTGAGCAAAGCTTTCTTTTTTTTGAACCTAGACACAAAGGATCAGTTAACCCTTGTATTGCGGGGGTAGCCATACTGCAAGGGTTAATTTTTAAAAAAAAACGATGTTACAGCAAATACCCCAAAAATCAGAATAAGGCGTTATCCATAGTCCCCTGTTTTCTCTGTGTGGAGTCCATTTCTAGTGTTTTCTCTCTCTCTCTCTCTCTCTCTCCCCCTCCTCTCTCTCTCTATTGGGAACTTTACAATTCTCTATGAATATTTTTTTACTTCTATGTTTAAAAACACAGGTGTTTTGTTATGTGATGTTTGTGAGTTTTGTGTGTTGTTTTTGTATTTTTTCTGTTTTGTTTTTTTATTTAAAATATTTACACAAATACAGGTAAGTGGTTGTACAGCACTGTGTGTCAAGCAGTTATACAAAAGAAGAGTACACATTATCACAATGAGGGTAAAACTGGAGCAGACGAAATCTGGAGAAGTTGCCAATGGCAACCAATCAGCTTCTATCTTTCTTTTTACATTATTTCACATTTCCAAGTGCAATAAACATATATGCAACTACAGAGAAACACTATCGAAATTCAATTTCTAGGCGGGAAGTCTCCCAGTAACGAAAGTTGGGGGAAAGCAGGGTTAAACAAAATATTGATTGGTGGATGGAAAGACAGTTGCAAAGTGGTGATGATGTAGTTGTAGGGGCTCATCATGTATAGCAGTGAGGATAAGGAATGTTGGGTTGGATCTCTCACAATGAAGCAATTATTTTTAGAGGTGCACAGAAATAAAGATTTAAAACCGAAACAAAACCGTAATGTATAAAAATGTCAGACTGAAACCGAAAATGTTTTTTTTCCTAACCTTTTCTCTGCTATTTAAAAAAAAATATTTTAGTTTTATTTATTTTTTATGAATTTTTTAATTTTTCTGTATTTTATTTGTATTTATTTTTACTTTACTGTCGGGGGCTCTGGGGAAGAATTGGGGGTCTGGACAGACTCCTGATATTTCCCTTTTAAAATAGAACAAGAGTTTGAGAACACAGAGTCCTCAATCTCTTTTTCTGCAGCCCCTGTTATAAATGCACAGGAAGCCTCTATACTGGGTCTTCCTGTTCATTCATAACATGTGGATATAGTATGTTTAACATGTCCACAATCATGAATGAACAGGAAGTGATGTAGATGACTTCCCATTCATTCATAATTGTGGACACAGTAAACATGCTCTGTCCTCAATTATTTACAAACACTCAGTGGTCACTGATCGCTGACTGCTTGTACCCGCTCTCCATCCTTACTGGCTGTCACAGGAGGCTAAGCGAGCGGTACAGGGAGAAGTGCTTCATCTCTTGTGACAGATGACTCCTCCCCCACACCACCATCCCGGCCTCCTGTGACAGCTGACAGCTGTTTCTGCCCCCACACCGCCGCTTTCCTAATCGCTCACAGTGCTATCCTCCTGCACCGCTCGGTCTCCTGTCACAGTTTCTCTCCTCCCCGCTCGGACACAGAACAGCGCCCAGTGGGGAGGAGAAAAACCAGGGATGCACCACTATTTGGGCCAAAAGATAGCACTTTCGGCATTTTGGCAAAAGTGCCATTTCCGGCTGATATGTTTCCGCGGCCAAAATTTCGGTGCATCCCTAATTAATTTGATTGTACACTTGGGAATAGACAGGGAGGCTGAGAAGCAACTCAACTTTTTTTTAATAAAGGGAGCTATATTTTCAGTCTGCTTCACATGCCTTTCAGGTTTTCAGTGTGATACCAGTTTGAGAAATGAATAGTTCCATACATTTTTCCAGTTGTTGGCCTGAGAAGTTAGGCCATATGACAACGTTTTCAAAAACTTTGCTGTAATGGAGCTTGTGTGGGAGGCTGCATCCAAATTGTCAAGTTAAATAGTGTGGTTTTAATGTCAGCTGGGGTGGAATATATTGCCCTTCATTTGCATGTATGTTCCCATTTAGTGAAACATATTGGGTGCATTTTGCTGGGCTGGGGAGTTGTGAAGGAGGCATGTAAGAGGTTCTAGGAGTCTGAGCATACCAGTTATCTGTGACATAAAGGTCTGGACTTTTTGCCAGAAGTCATGGATGGGATGACAATACAAATGCAAGTGGACCACATACGGCTGAGGGCTGGAGCATTTTAAGCAGTCAGTTAGCCATTGAGAGGGTGGTGGTTTTGAAGGATATTAGAAGACCAAATATGCCGTGTGAATACTTTTAAGGTGACCTACCCTCCATGTCTCTACTGTATCAGCTTTCTGCAGGCCCAACTATCCCTTTTCTATGTTATCCCATGTATCATTAATGGGTAGATTCAAGAATTTGACCATTTTACAGTTCTAGATTGTGTAGGTTGCCCAGGTTCTGAAAGCTGCATAGTCCCAGGCTTGGGGGGTGATTGTAAAGAGAGACAATAGGCAATACCAGGGACATCACACCAGGGAGAGACAGATACTTTTTTTCCCTCCAAGTAATGATAGTATTGCAAAAGAGAACATTAGATTTGATATGGAGGAGAGCTGAAGCAGGGAAGTATGTATTATTCATGCCAGGGACCAGGGGGTGCCGGTTGAGCATCTATCCAGTACAGGAGTGCCCATTAGGTAGATCGTGATCTACCAGTAGCTCTCAAAGCTGATGCTGGTAGATCACAAAGGGTGTGAATGGAGTGCAAAAAGTGCACTTGACGTTTAAGAAGAGCTGTGGAGCCTGTGATGGTCCATGGCTGCCAAAATGCTCCTCTTCCTTGTGGTGGAAGGCCCTCCCATAATAAAGCCTCTCTGAATTGGTGAAATACAATTATGTAGGAGAGTAGCCAGTCTAATGGTGAGCATTTTTGAAAGCTACTTGGCATCCTGTGTCAGCAAAGATATGAGGCAGAAAAAGCTGGGTAGGATGGGTTCCTTGCCTTTCTTTGGTAATAATTTGATAAAATTATCATTTGCAGTTGGAAGATAAGTGTTTTGAATCGAGGAGAAGTTATAAAGCGAGAGGAGAAGGCCACCCACCTCTGCTGATTTCCTACAACTCTTTAGAAGGACCATCAGGTCCCGGGGACTTAGCTCTAACGGATGTTTTTCATTATTTGGTTAATCCAAATAATGAAAAACATTACTTGATGACAGGTTCTCTTTAAATGATCAGCTTGCAATGTACAGTTTATGCTTTCCAATGGCTTGTTTATTCCATTGTAATGGGTGAAATACTTTGCAGTGTATGATACCGTATTTATAGGAATTGTATTGCTGCAGTACATACCAGAGGTTAATGATATGGAAATGGATTGCTAGCGGTAGTAGCGGATGCATTACATTTACAATGCTTCATTTTGCCTCTAAAAGGTTATTTACCACATTGAAAGTAATAAAATGTATAGACCTTTTGCTTATTTTATTGTTTCAGTGGCTGTAACTCTGTATCTTGTTTCATTGATTTGGTAGAATACATTTCTGTGTGTTTTATTTACAGTGGTGGAGGAGCCTTTAGGCAGCACAAATGCCCGTTATAGGCCCTCGGATGAGCAGGACTGTCTGATGGAGGAAAAAGGAAGAAATTATTATGTCAAGCCGGTGGACCACTTTAATGGCACTTATATTATATTTTTTCTGCTGGGGGTGGGTTCCGCACTCCCTTGGAATTTTATTTGCACAGCAAAACACTATTGGATATACAAACTAAGAAATTGCTCGGATATTCTAGTGATAGAAAAACCTGATGTTTCAGACCTGAGTGTGAGTATAATTTGTGTCTGTGAAACTAGTTTTTTTTTACATATATGATACTGAATCATGTAGATCTGTTTGTTCATTCATATACATACTTTGCTAGCTTTTAAAGTGAATTTGTCACAGTCAGGACATTTTGTTTGAGTGAATGTTTAAAAATGCAGGTAGAGGTTACCAGCACTGTGGTGGTGTGTGCTGAAAAACAGTAGGACATGCAGTACCTTTTTCTTCAGAGCAGAGTGTTGCGGGCATTAAAGTGACACAGCGCGGCTCGAGGGACAAGGAAAGTAAATGCTATGCGACATTCCCGAGTGTAGCTCGGGGTTACCGCTTATGGTATGGAAAAGTAACCCCGAGCTACACTCGGGAGGTTAAAGCAGGGTTTTTTTTTTTTTTACTTTTTGCATATATCTACTACTTGCCAGCAGTAGATATATGCAAAATAACGTGAGGGTTTAGAAACCCTTTAAACCACAACTTAAGGGCCGGTGCACACCTGGCCGATTCGTGACCGCGCAGCAATCCTGCACGATACCACCTGGATTTCTGCGTGGTCACGGAGTCGCCAAGCACCGACGATCGCGCTGTGGGTGCCTATATTTTCTAATGGCACCCCAGTAGCGCCGGGTGGATCGCGCGGTTTCCCGCCACGATTTGGCCCGTGCATCCGAACACTAAAACATAGTTTCCCCATTGAAATCAGTGGGGCCGCGTGGCAATCGCTGTCTGTAATTGTGCACGATCCCGGATCGCTCAGGTCTGCACCGGCCCTAAGACTCTACTGTGAAAAAAATGAATGAGATGTCACTTTGTGTTTCTTTAATAAAGTTTGAAAAAAAAAAAAGAAGTAAACTGTGCGATCCACTGTAGCACTTCTTCCTTCACAGTGCAAAATAGCAACCTTGTTGTAATGCATGCTGCTAGTGTGAACGGGCCCTAAATTTGTAGGTACTTTAAAGAACAACTCTGGGCAGAATAAAAATGAGCCCTTACAGTAGGGTTACCCTTGCACCGCAAGGGTTAAGTGCTTGTTTGGGTCTAGGGTCACAAATAAAAAAAGATATACTCACCCGATCTTGGTCTCAGCTGGCTGCTAGACTGGTCCCCCCAGGCTCTAGCTAAGGACCCGCAACATCATCACATTAAATCACTAGCAATGGACGTGAGGATGCTGAGGGAAATTCCATCGCTGGAGTGGAAAGGGAGAGAGGTGAGTGGTCACCACCACAGGACAGAGGGTCGGTGAGTGTATCTTCATTTTATTGTACACCCTAGACCAAAACGAGCACTTAACCCCTGTGGTCCACTTTAATTCTGCTTCTGCCCGGAGTTCTTTGATAGGCAGCCTATCTGACCAATTGGGAGGTGGAAAGGGCGGGGCTGAGCTGCACTTTTGCAAGATCTGTCAAGATTAGCTTGCAACTGAAGCTATCTCTGGATCTAATCTTTGTTTTGGCTTGTTGTTTTCACTGAAGGTAACCTTTGGCATTTATTGAATCACATGCTTAGTTTGAGTTGCCAGACAAGATATTTGAATTTGAACTAAGTCCACAGCTTTTAGCTACATGTCAGCAGTCATTATATGATCGTCAAACTGATAGAGATCCTAAAATCTGTTTAAAGGAGAAGTATGATGCACATTAATCTCATGTATAATATTACCTTGAGACAGACTCATGTAATTGTTGAATGACATACTGAATATACTTAGTAGCTTCCTATTTTGCGGGCAGCTCATTGAAGTAAAGGGATTTTTGTATTTGAGTAGACGAGAGGATTTATTCATTAGGAGTCTTTTGTCCTTTTTGTTCCTTGATTCTGTCTGTGCACATCAACTCAATTATATCAGCGTGAATGAGCGGCTTTCCCAGTCATACATTGTATCGGATGGATTCTGCCAAGTCATTATAAATAAACACTAAACTCTGGAGTAAAATCTTAAAAATACATTCAAGTACCTCAACTATTAACAAAAATGTATCTTATTTGTGTATCACTCGTCTGCAGATCCTCAAATCATCTCTGAATTCACACTGACTAGGGATGTCCCGATACCATTTTTTCAAGTACAACTACTTTCCCTCATTTACTCGCCGATACCAATTACTGATACTTTTCTTAAAGGAATAGGTGACATTTTATCAAAGACAAGAAAGACTAATGATTTTAGGGCAGTTTCTTTATAACTATGATGAACTGTAACTCATTCCATGATTATTCAGCAGTGGAGAATGGCAACCGGCTATAGAGGACTAAAAATCTCAGCAATCCATTATTATTCAGCAATGGAGAATGACAACCAGCAATCATGGATTGCTGAGATTTGTAGTCTTCTATAGCGGTTGCTATTCTCTATTTCTGTAGATTATACAGCAGTGGAGAATACAACTGGCTATCGAGAACTACAGATGCCATCAGTCCATGATTATAAGCAATTATACAGGTCAGCGTGCAGATCTCACCATGGCTGCGTTATGGTTTCACCAGGGCTGCGTTTGAGTCTTACCAGGGCTGCGTTTGTGTCTCAGCAGGGCTGGGTTTGGGTCTCAGCAGGGATGTGCGCAGGTCTCACCAGGGCTGCGTGCGCGCCTCTCCAGGGCTCTGTGGGTGGGTGTCAAGCTCTCTAGGGCTCTGCATGCGTCTGCTGGGATCTCTAGAGCTGAACGGGTGGGATACGGGCTCCAGAGCTGTACTGGTGGGTGTGGGGCTCTGCCGACTCCAGAAAGGAGGAGGAGTCAATGTGCAGCAGGACAGGCACTATTAAGGACTGCTGCCTGGGGACCCCAGGACCTCAGGCAGCCGAACTTCCTGAAAAATTTAAAGGGCCAGTTTTTGCCTTTTGTATCAAGGCTCAATTGCTCAATTGAATCACAAAACCTGCTCTTATGGGCCAGTGTATGGGTTTTGTTTGAATAGAGTATCATTTGTGATATTATTACTTTTAGGCAGGGTATGATTTGCACCAAAATGGAGAATTATGACCTAGGGGCAAATAAACATACTACTTCCCGTTAGTCTATTAGTAGTATTCATTATTTCCAAAGTCACGGCACATCTGAGATAAACTCCTCTCAAATCTCAGAAAACAGCCACCTGCAGCCACGCTTCCAGCTCCATTCCTGTTAGGGGGCATCGGAAGAGTTTGTCACTGCACATGGGGAAGGCGGGGACAGAGGAAGGAGACGGAGAAAGAACCTACACAGCAGGATGTGCCTGGAAGGCGGGCACAGAGGACGGGGAGGTAGAGAGAGGGCTGTGGGATCAGAGCTGCTGTGCATGCCCATTTATTTGTGGATGCGCAGGAGCTCTCCAAAGCTGACGAAATATCAGTGGGGAGGATCCCAACAGTATTGTCGGGATCACTCCTCGTTGCGGCGCTTAGCCCCGTCCATCATCTTAAAGCACCCATTACAGGCTTAGGGTGCATTTTGGCTTGAAGGAGTAAATTACAATAGCCTTTAGCCTAATGAATACAAACATGGTGATAAACCAGGACCCCATCGTTCTCCTTTAACAAAAGCGTAGTCTGGGTGTAACAACCTTTATATTGAATAATGCTTTCAGTTCTCTTTTTTAATAGTCTAAGAACTTGGTTGGGTAAGGGTTCTTGAACTGTGAATTTATGAAGTCCCGGAGGGAGTGAGAGACACATATGTTGTAAAGCTATTGTGAACGTGTTATAAAGGTGTTGTGGAAAATAAGGTGACAGAAACGACTGGGAGATGTTTGTCTTTTATGCAAATGTTTGCAGGTTTTTTTGTCAGTTCAACAACAAGTACATTTTTGCTTATTATTTCCTAAAGCAACCTGTACTTTCCCCTTCTTGGGTTACTGGACAGCAGGCATGCTAATTGGCATAAGGTGACTGAGGGAAAATCCAATATTTTTGATCTGTCATTGGAAGAGTCACAGGAGGAGAAAATCTTCCAATCTTGTGGCTTTACATACACTTTAAAGGAAATCTGTACTTTGACTGGGATAGACAAAGTAACGGGGTCACTGCAGGGGACTGCACCCAGGGGAGTTAAAGGAGATCTGAACCATAAGTAGACACGGTAACATTTAGGGGGTTATTCACTTAGCTGCCGAAGGCAGCCGAGTGAATAACCGAGCCGAAGTGAAGTAAGCCGAATACTGTTCGGCTATTCACTTCAACCTTGTACGGCTGATTTCAAATGTTAAAAAATTATTTGAAAAAATAGGAAAATGAAAAATATATACAAACTCCCGCTCCATAATGAAGCATCTGACAGATGCCGGCAAAATAAAAATAATGATGTCTCTGCTAGCTCCGCCCCAACTGTTTCCTATTGGCCGGCACCTGCCAGAGTATTCTAGCAGGTCCCAGGCTAATAAATAACAACACTGTTGTTATTGTTTAATGACAGATCAGCGTCCCCAGGCCATTAGGGGATGCAGATCTGTCATTACAACTGGGCGGAGCAAGCAAGCCGTGAGATCAACACGTGTGTAGCAACTATGTGTATCACAAAACAATTGCCATGTTTTTGTTCATAAAATACTGTTCCATTTTTGTTATTTTTTTGCGTCTCGGTACTTCTGATCTCCCTCAGCCTCTTGCAGCAATTTCCTGTTTACATTGATAGTGACAACAGTGGCCCATACCTGTGCCAGGTGCATCAGCTTGTAGTCTTCATGAGTCTTCAGGCGTGTGACAGTGTTATAGAAAAGCAGCATATTAGGTAGATAGTTGTAACCACATAACAGGAAGCGTCTGAATAAGAACCCTTCATGGTAGCCAGGAATTATTTTATTGAAAGTGGCCTATTTAAATGGACAACAAAAACAACCGTTAAAGTGGACCCATATCTTTAAAATAATAACAAACACACCGTTATAATTCTTTAGTAATGACAATCTACAAACACACACTTCATGATAATTGCAGGAATCGTATTCTTTGCATACCTTATTTCTCTTTTCTTTCCCAAGTCTTCTGACAGTGGTCATGTTTACTAAGGGCAGATTACTAGCTCTCCTATTAC